AGATGGTCGCTGCCCCAAACCCTGCTGCCCGGTTTCCAGTCTGTCTGAAGCTCTTCCTAGTGCCTCCCACTGAGGCTGGGAGGGGTTGGTGTGGGGAGGCCGCTCAGGAGCTCTGAGGGAGCTTATACTAAAGGTGATTTGGCTTACCTTTTACCAAAAACCTCAACTCCTGTGTGGGTCTGGGCTGTCCGCACTGGGTGCGCTGGATATCCTTCCCTCCCTCACACCACCTGACTGTTCAGCATTGACGTGGCAATATTTGTGCCTGTGACATCCAGGACAGGTGCTTTGTGGTGATGGAGCTAGTAGCAGCGCTGGCTGCATGAAAACCTTTCCTTTGGGGCTGGGGATGCTCTGGGAAATGGTTTCCCCAGTCTGGGCACTGCGCCAAGTTCCCAGGTCCAAGGAGTGGGTTTCATTTGTGTTGGCTCTAATGTAAGGAGACAGCTGGGCCTTGGGGATTCGGCAGGGAGGCGGCTAATAGATTTGGGTTCAAGCAGTTGTCCCAGATATCGTACATGATTGCACTTAACCTGCAGGAGTCAAGCTCAGAGGACACTGATGGCTAAACCTGCCCCATTTCTCCCCCCACATACACCCTCTCTTCCTGTTATTGTCTCAAAGCGCAGCCAGAGCGAAAGAAAAGGTGGTACCTGAGCTCGGAGTAACATCTTAAACCACAAAAAGTTCCTCCTGGCTCAGCATCTTGCCAAAAAGCAGTTTCCAGGGTAAAAAAGGTGGCTGGACGCTTGTGGGGAGGAAGGGGTTGGTCTCTCCTTGGGCCAAGACTGGATGTTGAAGCGTAAGGATTTACCACTGCCCAATGCCTGGGCTAGGTCTCTGCTGCAGAGAGCGAACCTCTGGGTAATTTTTTCCTCTACACCTTTATTTTACAATTCAGCAAAACAAGCTGTCCCCTAACGTGGTAATTTTTGTTGGACAATTTGTATTTTCAATGTCATCAGACTGTTGAGGCTTTGAAAATGAAGGGGCAGGGGTGAGAGAAGATGAAAACGGGCTTCATCTTTTTGTTTTTTCTAATGACAGGTCCAAAAATCCCAGTGGGATGAACCAGTCTTGTTCTTTGCTGAAATTCCCTTTGGAAATTATTAAGCTAGTATTTTTTCCATGGGAAACAGGAAGTTTCTTGGAGCAAATGGAGAACTTGCAGCAACGTGCATGAAATCTAGTGGTTTAGATATTATGGAGACTAACGAAGGCTGTAGCTGGATTTTCATTCAAAGCTTTGTTTTCTGTCCCTACTTCTGCCTTCTTGTTGGGAAGATGAAATTTATCTGATCCATTGGCCTGGCTGTTAAAAACAAGCTCAGTGATGAAGAAACCATCCCCATCCCTCAAAGCATGGCAACAGGAAAGATGATTTGGTGGTGGTTTTGGAGAGAGGTTCCTCTGCCCAGACAGCTTTTGACAAGACGTGCTCAATGGCCCTTAATCCTCACTGCCCTGCCGACACCAGCTTGAAAGCAACTAGCGATAAAACGAAGCCCTGGGCAACATCAGGCTTTTGTCTCGAATCGATGTCTGTTTGTAACCTTTAACTTGCAGCAGCCCTGAGCAGCTCCTGGGGATCTCAGCTGGGGGCTCTGGGATGCTCGCCTGCATCTCACTGCAGCTGGTTTTAGATGCTCAACTTGTTCCCTTTTTCTTCTTTAATCGGGCGACCCCGAATCTGCTCTGTTCTCCAGCCAGTGGTAGCGTTCAGGAACCTGAATCCCCAGGGGGTGACCAAGATGGCCATGTTTTCATGTATTTACGCAGGTTTGCGTGTCATGAGGCAGGGGAGCTAACCCACTTGCAGCTTCCCCAGCCATGGAGCAGCGCAGGTTTGATTGCAACAAATCACCTGGCTGCAAAGCAAGCTGTTAGTGCTCCAGGCCTGGAGTAGCCATCAGCATCCTCTGAGGAAGCAGGCAGGATCCCCAGCCCTGCGGCTTGGAGGCTGTAACTGAGCAGCTGAGGGTTGCTGCCTGCCCTTTTCCAGCTCTGCTTAGTCCTGGCTTTAGCTGCAGCATCAGTGCAGGGTGAGAAGCAATATCTGCTACCAGGCATCTGCTTAAGCCCTTCCAGCTGGGTTCACAGGAGGATGTCTGTCTGCCCATGGCAGCCCCGTGGAGTTGCTGGGGATAAGCTCTGTGGGATGAGCGCAGCGGGGAAGGGGTCAGCTCAATTTGAGGGTGGTTTCATTGAGGTATGAGTCTTGACCCTCCTGTCTTGTGGCTTCTGCAGCTCAACGTCCTGAACAATGTCAGCAGCTCGGAGGATGTCAAGCCCTTGCCGGGTCTTCCAGGGATTGGGAACGTGAATTATCCATCTACAAGCCCAGGATCCTTAGCCAAACACATCTGTGCCATCTGTGGGGACAGGTCCTCAGGTAGGAGGTTTGATTTCTAGGGGAAGGCTTAGTGCAATGAAAACTCCCCTGGTGCTCTGTGCAGGATGAACAGCATGGAGGCTCGCTGGGGCCATACTGGCATTGCAGGATTCGTAGCTGGGCCTGGCTTACCCAAGGGTAGGCTATCTGGTTTACACTGTGCCCGAAAGACAGCAAACCCATAAGCCACGCTCTTCTCCCTTATGCGTATAAACTCATTTTACATTTTGTCCTTGTTTATCAAAGGTAAATATGTCAAGATTGCTGTCTTCTCATTTACCTGTGCTTTGTGCTGGGCTTTGGATATGCCTGGGTTTCTCTCCTACCCCAGAGACCTGCAGGCTGGCCATGCTTTGCAGACCCCCTCCTCATCAGTGCACCCCATTTGCTACCCATGGCATTTCTGCACTCATGCTGCAGCTAAGGTGTGGCTCCACATCCTTCCCCTGGGATGCAGTCCCTCCTTATCCCAGGAAAGTGGTGGTCTTATAGTTTGACTGCTGCTGGTCACTATTCCTGCTAAGAGCCCCTAAAGCCAAGTCAGGCCTGCTAAGGTCTGCAGGCAGTTTTTCCCATCTTTGGAGCTGGTTTGAGCTCTCCAAAGCTGCCTGCCTGCCCCCTGACGGCCTCCCCTCGCCGCCCCCCAGGGAAGCACTACGGTGTGTACAGCTGTGAGGGCTGCAAAGGCTTCTTTAAGAGGACGATTCGGAAGGACCTGATCTACACCTGCCGTGACAACAAGGACTGCCTCATAGACAAACGCCAGCGCAACCGCTGCCAGTACTGCCGCTATCAGAAGTGCCTCGCCATGGGGATGAAGAGGGAAGGTATGTGTGCAAAGGAACGGGCTTATAGAGATTTTTTTTTCACTTATGTTCATTAGGGTAGATCTGGCTCTTGGTGGCCCTCTCAGGCTGGAGCATCCCAAAAATAACACGCGGCTTCAGGGCATCTTTGACCTCATTTTGTGAAGGAAATGAAGCAGATAGGGAAGCTATTACACTATTTTTCTTCCCATCCCACCTAAACACACATTCACACAGAGTGGGAGTGGTAGGGCTTGGAAGGGACCT